ACAGTCCAACAGAGAGGAGGCTGAAAACGGTATGGAATTTAGAAGGCAAGATAGAGAAGAGTGAAGAAAGAAAGGAAAATGACAGCTATAGAAATCACTTAAAAATTACTATTTTTTGAGACAAGTTTCACTCTTGTTTCTCAGACTGGAGTGTCGTGGGGTGATCTTGGCTCACTGCAACCTCTGCCTCCCAGGTTTTAAGTGATTCTTCTGCCTCAGCCTCCCAAGTATCTGGGATTACAGGCCTAAGCCACCATGCCTGTTTATTTATTTATTTATTTATTTATTGTATTTTTAGTAGAGACGGGACTTCTCCATATTGGCCAGGCTGGTCGTGAACTCCTGAGCTCAGGTGATTCGTCCTCCTCACCCTCCCAAACTGCTGGGATTACAGGAGTGAGCCACCTCGCCCAGCCAAAATTAATCATTTTTGTATTGTTTCACTTATTTATTGTTTTATAAACACACAAGTTGAGGAAATTTTAAAATGAGAAAAATACATATATAAACAACAAAGCTCTAACCATTAGCCATTAAGAGCAGTTTTATTTACCTAATTCAGACAGAGAGGCTGGAGATTCTTTAGGGAGTTAAAGGTACTAGCAGTGGAAAAAAACCATGAGATCATCATCACATCATCCCCTGAAGCTGTCTCAGGGGAAGTCACTGAAACCCACAGACAATCTAACTGGTAATTAATACATAGGGCTCTTTGTGCCCCTTAGGGAGAGGAATGAAAACAACTGAAATCAGCCCATCACCCCATAAAGACACTGGTGAAAGATTTGCAAGTTGTCCTTTGCACCCTAGCAGCCCACAGATACCTCACTCTAATGTCCAAACCTGACTGGGTACCCATTATGTGCCTAGTTCAGTGAAGCATACTTTATGCTTTCTTAATCCTGCAGTGGGGCAGTCAAGTCACAGTATTAGCTGTTTGTTCTTGTTTTTTTAGATAGGAGTCTCCCTCTGTCACCCAGGCTTGAGTGCAGTGGTGTGATCTCGGCTCACTGCAACTTCCACCTCCCAGGTTCAAGCAGTTTTCCTGCCTCAGCTTCCTGAGTAGCTGGGATTACAGTCATGTACCACCACACCCAGCAAATTTTTGTATTTTTAGTAGAGATGTGTTTTTGCCATGCTGGCCAGGCTGGTCTGGAACTGCTGACCTCAGGTGATCTGTCCACCTTAACCTTCCAAAGTGCTGGGATTACAGGCATGAGCCACATGCCTGGCCAACTGTTCTGACCAAAGACTTTTCTTCATTAACCTGCTCCTCCTATTCCATCCTGTAAACCTTTAAATCTAAGGGATATTATCCACAGCTCATCTCCACTTTTCTAATCTGACAGCACTGATCATTGAATTTCTCAGAAGCCAGATGTTTCTCTGGCACTCAGAGGCCTCAGCAGCGTCACGGCAGCTGAAGTGTCACTTCGTCCTCACCCAGGGCACACCGTGACGTTGTGCAGCCCCACTGATTGGGACCCATGCAAACACCCTGGCCCAGGGCCACTCTCCCCCAGAATGTCCACAGGTCAAGGGATCTCCACTCCCATCCTTATTTTCCTCAATAGCTGGTCACAGCAGTAATCAACCAGACTTCTAGAAAAGAGATATCCGCTCTCAAGGCTGCCGTGGACTCCAGTGGTATAATCTACTACTTGAATCTAGTTGTTTCTTTCATTCCATAATAATAAAATATAGCGGGTGTCAGTAGAAATCTTTCTTTAGATATTATATCACATCTGGATACATCTGAATCCTAAAGGATTAATCTAAATATTAACAATTGACTTCTGCCAGTGTCAAGAGTATTTTCTCCTGTTGGTCTTAAATCAGTTTTAAAATTTGAGAGTTTTAAAAGCATATCTTTATATGTTCATAAATAAACAGAACAAAAATGCTTTGAGTGCCATATATATAATTTTTTCATACAGAATTAACCAAAGCCTTATTTATTATTTCAAAATTCTCATTTTTATATATATTTAACTTTTTTTTTTTTTTTTGAGACGGAGTTTCGCTTGTTACCCAGGCTGGAGTGCAATGGCGCGATCTTGGCTCACCACAACCTCCGCCTCCTGGGTTCAGGCAATTCTTCTGTCTCAGCCGCCTGAGTAGCTGGGATTACAGGCACGCACCACCATGCCCAGCTAATTTTTTGTATTTTTAGTAGAAATGGGGTTTCACCATGTTGACCGGGATGGTCTCGATCTCTTGACCTCGTGATCCACCCGCCTCGGCCTCCCAAAGTGCTGGGATTACAGGCTTGAGCCACCGCGCCCGGCCTATATATATATTAAATACATGTCTTTGGTTAAAATGCAAGATACTGAAAGAAAAATGCATATAGGCATTTCAGATAATAATTTACATGTATTTCATTTGTCTGACATTACAAAGTCAGCATTTTCACACTAACATTCCCAGCTAACTGAAGTCCGATTGTAATAGAAGCCGCCGTAAGCTGGGAATATTTATTTCTTATATTTCCTAAATTTAAAAAATTCCTTTCACTATACATGATGGTGCTAATTAAAAGAAGTCAACAGTCTAAGGCATAGATTTCCATACACAGCCAAATCTGTGTTTAGATTGAATCAAATAAAATAGGAAGTCTAGGAAAATTTTTAAGGTGTAAAAAAATTGTATTTAGGTTGGCTTGAACTTGTCTAAAAATAAATAAATTTTAAAAAATTATATTTAGGGCCAGGCGCAATGGGATATACCTGTAATCCCAGCACTTTGGGAGGCTGAGGCGGGTGGATCACTTGAAGTCAGGAGTTCGAGGCCAGCTTGGCCAACGTAACGAAACCCCGTCTTTACTAAAACAACAAGAATTAGCTGGGTATGGTGGTGGGCAGCTGTAATCCCAGCTACGTGGTAGGCTGAGGAAGGGAGAACTGCTTGAACCCAGGAGGTGGAGGTTGCAGTGAGCCCAGATCGTGCCACTGCACTCCAGCCTGGGTAACAAGTGTGAGACTCTGTCTCAAAAAAAAAAAAAAAAAAAAATTAAAAAATTAAAAATTATATTTAGGAAACAAGTATAGTTCTTTTATGAGAGTTCAAAATTAGTGCTGTCAATAACCTTCAGGGCAAATGATCACTCCCTTCAATTACAACAGTCTTAACTTAAAACTGACATTTCATTACTCTTAATTCTATCATAAAGTCATATATTTTTCTTTTTTTTTTTTTTTGAGATAGAGTCTTGGTTTTTCACCCAGGCTGGGGTTCAGTGGCACGACCTCAGCTCACTGCACCTCTGCCTCCTGGGTTCAAGCAATTCTCCTACCTCAGCCTCCTGAGTAGCTGAGATTACAGGTGTGCACCACCACGCCCAGCTATGTTCTTGTATTTTTAGTAGAGGCGGGTTTCACCATGTTGGTGAGGCTGGTCTCAAACGCCTGACCTTGTGATCTGCCCACCTTGGCCTCCTAAAGTGCTGGGATTACGGGCATGAGCCACTGTACCCAGCCCAGTCCTATATTTTACTTTAGGTGAATCAAATACAATGAAAATTATATATTTGTCTGTTGAGCATTATAAGGAACATGGCTTTGGAAACAAAAACCATGCTAGAAATCTTCTCAGATGTCTTTTTCCTATATAGTTTCAAGAACCCCAAAACTATTCTCAAAGCAGTGACTCAAGTTTATTACATTCTATATAACTCCAAGTCTGCCTAGCACTCAAAAACAAAACACAAAAAACTCTGAAACTTCCCAGCATCCTGTTCTCAAAAGGACATTAATCTGGTGTGTTCAGTAATTAACATTGACATTCTAAACTCACTACCAATTTCCAAACAGCAAATGCTACTTATTTTATGTATTTATTTCTGAGATGGAGTCTTGCCCTGTTGCTCAGGCTGGAGTGCAGTGGCGCGATCTTGGCTCACTGCAACCTTTGCCTCCCAGGTTCAAGCAATTCTCCAGCCTCAGCTTCCCTAGTAGCTGGGACTACAGGTGCACACCACCATGCCCAGCTAATTTTTGTTTTTCATAGAGATAGGGTTTTGCCATTTTGACCAGGCTGGTCTCAAACCCCTGACCTGAGGTTGTCCACCCGCCTTGGCCTCCCAAAGTGCTGGGATTACAGGTGGCCAAATACTACTAATTTTAGCTCAACTTTTTTTTATACAAACCGTCTTCCACATTTGAAGTGTTTATTTTCTGAATGATATAACTTGCTTTCCTTTGCTAATTCACGTATGAATTCACATAAGGAAACGGTCAGAAATCCTTAATTCTCAACGTCTCCTGCCTTACCTTATCTTCTGTCCGTTACTTTACATCCTTCATATCAACACTATGCTTTACAATTTACCAAATACTTCCCTCCCGTTGATTCAACAAATGTTTATGCAGCACCTATTATGTGCCACTAGGGGTTTAATGGTCACAACTCTGTATTCTCAAGCCTCCTTTAGTTATTTATTTTAATAATTCTATGAGGGTGGCAGGTTGGGTATTGTCCTCCTTTTTACAGCTGAGCCAGTAAGTTCAGCGTTTACATTATTTTCTCAAGGTCACATACTGGAAGCTAGGACTCCTTATGCCTAATGCCATATGTTGTTATAACGGACTGTCTACTTGAAATTAATTCTATTTGACACTATTTTAATTATTTGTTCTCACTCTTAAATTATCTTTAAGCTTTTTTCATGTTATTTTCTGTCTCATGAAGCAGAAACTGTGCCTTTTATTTCTTCCTGGTTTTAAGTACATGGGCAGGGGTACAGTCTGATAGTAACTGCTGTTAAAAAAAAAAACCATAACTACATAGATTATTCATGCAGCATGCAGAATTAACTCATGTTGAAAGGAGGTTTCTTCCCATTTTTTCAAGCAGGGCGGATACTCAGGTCACAGGCAGCCTAGCTGTGTTAGGAGTTAAAACGTTTAAATACTGTTGGAAACCACCTCTCTTCTGAGCTTTTTGAGAAGCACCCCTTCAGTGCTGGCCTCGGACCCACACGTCTCCCTTTATGTCAACAGCTGGCACAGCAGAGAATCCTGCCCTGAAGCTGTAGTCAGCTACCGTACCAACTACTGCTCAGCGCCCGTGCTTTCTCAGGTAATATGATTTTATAAATTGTTTTGTTGTTGCTGTTGTTGTTTGTATTTTTTTGAGACGGAGTTTTGATCTTGTTGCCCAGGCTGGAGTGCAATGGCATGGTCTCAGCTCACTGCAACCTCTGTCTCCCAGGTTCAAGTGATTCTCTTGCATCAGCCTCCTGCGTAGCTGGGATTACAGGTGCCTGCCACCATGCCTGGCTAATTTTTGTATTTTTAGTAGAAACTGGGTTTCACCATGTTGGTGAGGCTGGTCTCGAACTCCTGACCCCAGGTGATCTGCCCATCTCAGCCTCCCAAAGTGCTGGGATTACAAGCGTGAGCCACCACGCTCAGCCTATAAATCATTACCATTTTTCTGAGACAGGGTTTCACTCTGTTGCCTAGGCTGGAGTGCAGTGGCGTGATCTCAGCTCATTGTACCGCTACCTCCCAGGTTCAAGTGATTCTCCTGCTTTAGCCTCCCTAGTAGCTGGGACTAAAGGTGTGTGCCACCACACCTGGCTAATTTTTTGTGTTTTTAGTAGAGATGGGGTTTCACTGTGTTAGCTAGGATGGTCTCAATTTCCTGACCTTGTGATCCTCCTGCCTCGGCCTCCCAAAGTGCTGGGATTACAGGTATAAGCCACTGCGCCTGTTTAGAGACAAGGTCTCATTCTCTTGCCCAGACTGGAGTACAGTGACATGATCCTAGCTCATTGTAGTCCTGAAGTCCTCAGAGACTCAAGGGATCTTCCTGCCTCAGCTTCCTGAGTAGCTAGGACTATAGGCATGACCACCACACCCAGCTAATTTTAAAATTTTCTGTAGAGACAGGATCTTGCTACATTGCCAAGGCTGGCCCTGAACTCCTGGCCTCAAGTGATCTTTCTACCTTGGCCTCCCACAGTGCTGGGATAACAGGCGTGAGCCACCATACCCAACCAGGTGATAGATATTTTTGATAACACTTCTGCTTTCAGAGAAGATCCTGGAGTGTTGTCAGGACATTACTATTTGGCTAAGTATCTGTAGTATCAAAACCTTTAATTTTTTTTTTTGAGACAGAGTCTCACCCTATCACCCAGGCTCGAGTGCACTGGCGTGATCTCGGCTCACTGCAGCCTCTGCCTCCTGGGTTCAAGCAATTCTTCTGCCTCAGCCTCCCAAATAGCTGGGATTACAGGCACCTGCCACCACACCCAGCTAATTTTTGGTATCTTTAGTCGAGACAGGGTTTCAACATGTTTGTCAGGCTGGTCTCGAACTTCTGACCTCCTAATCTGCCCACCTTGGCCTCCCAGTGCTTAGATGACAGGCATGGGCCACCATGCTAGGCCCAAAACCTATAGCACTGTCTTGTTGTCTACTGATGTAATTAGGGAGGTACAGGGAAAATGCTTACCTTAGTTAATATTTTATTTACATCTTAGTGTGAATGCATGACTTATTAGGTCCTTTCCAATAAAACAGTTACCAGAGAGGTGGCTTTCCAGGGAGAATAAAAGAGGTAGAATCAGAGCATGAAGTACCTGGAGAAGTCAACTTTGAGGGCCTAGAGTGGAGTGCTAAGAGAGAAGGCAGTAAAAGACAGGTTTACAAAGATGCTGCCTTTTTTTTTGAGATGAAGTCTCGCTCTGTCACCCAAGCTGGAGTGCAGTGGCATGATCTCAGCTTATTGCAACTTCTGCCTCTGGAGTTAAAGCAATTCTTCTGCCTCAGTCTCCCAAGTAGTTGAGATTATAGGCATGTGCCACCACACCGAGCTAATTTTTATATTTTTAGTAGAGATGGGGTCCCACTATGTTGATAAGCCTGGTCTCAAACTCCTGACCTCAAGTGATAGTGATCCACCCACCTAAGCCCCCCGAAGTGCTGGGATTATAGTTGTGAGCCACTGCACCTGGCCAGAGATGCCTTTTTGAATATTGTTTGATTTTTTTATTTTTTAATTTTTTTTTGGTCACTCTATAATAAAGTCAGGGAGGTGCCTGTTAATTCCTTTGACCTATGTTGAAACTTGCACTCTTAATGTTACTTTTAAACCAAATAAGCCCTTTTCAACAGATATGAAAAACAGCATAATAAAAAAACCAAAATCTCATTTCACCATATTAATAAATAGGCTAACTGCCAGAACTTGGGAGTGAAGACACTTAAATTTTTTTAAAAAATTTTATTTGAATGAAACCATTAAAATGATTTGAAATAGAATGATCTTTGTGAAGCCAAGTTTATAGCATCACTATTTATAGAAGAGAAAGCAGCAGAGGTATGCATCTGGAAGTGAATATAACATTGTAAAATCAGCCCACATTAAATACCAAAAAAGTAAGAACAATCAAAATGCAGCATTATTTACAGGATTAAAAAGGAAAGTTTGGCCGGGCGCGGTGGCTCAAGCCTGTAATCCCAGTACTTTGGGAGACCGAGAGGGGTGGATCACGAGGTCAAGAGATCGAGACCATCCTGGTCAACATGGTGAAACCCCGTCTCTACTAAAAATACAAAAAATTAGCTGGGCATGGTGGCACGTGCCTGTAATCCCAGCTACTCAGGAGGCTGAGGCAGGAGAATTGCCTGAACCCAGGAGGCAGAGGTTGCGGTGAGCCGAGATCGCGCCATTGCACTCTAGCCTGGGTAACAAGCGAAACTCAGTCTCAAAAAAAAAAGAAATAAAAAAAAAAGAGGAAAGTTTGAACATCGCAGAGTTAAATTTTTGTATGTGTGAATTTTGACCTGCTATGTTGTTAGTGAAAAGCCTTAATGGGTATATAAAACAATGTCACCCTAATCCCAACCACCACCAGCTCAAGACACAAACTGACAATGATTCCTTCCTTATTTTACAGCTTTATTACTGATTCCCCTCTAAAGACTCCCAAATAAATGTGGAGCTGACTCATTATCTATAGAGTAAGGAATCACAAAGTACCACAGTCACGTAACAAAAGCAAAAAAAAAAAAAAAAAAAAAAAAGCAATTGTTTTATCTTTCAACTGCTGATGTTATGTACATATGTACAGTCTTTCACAAGAAGCATAGCTGTGCATTCATGAGCTGATTTTGTATTAAATTCTAGAATTTTAGAAACGAGCAAATCTAAGTATATGGATACTCTCTTACCTTACAAAGTAAAAGCAAGCATTTTCTATTTTAAAATTTTTATTTCTGTGTAAAACAAAGGTCTCCTAGAGGTCAAATAAGAAAATATAACAAACTCAAAGCACTATTACGTCGTCAAACAAGGAAGACTCTGAGGTAGAAGTCAAGCAATATAATCCACAATTTCAGGTATTACCAGCAACCATCACATCTCGCAAGTAAGATCTATTTTTTTTTTTAAGTCTTAACTTCCAAAAAATAATGCGTTCTCTAAAATCAGATGTATAACTATGACCAACAGAAGTCACCCAAACTTTTGTCATGGCAACAGAGTAAATGCTTTTACTAAAAGCTGCCAACATTTTTATCAGTAGTAACCGTAAGGAGGCCGCTGGTTGTAACCATAATGTCCGTATTGGTGGGGATAGTAAGGTTCTTGTCTGTGTTGCGGGTAATTGTTACCCCAGGATCGGCCATGCCACTGATTGGATCGATTGTCACTTGGCCACCCCCATCTGCCGTCCCTGCCTCTGAACTGTCTGTTATCTTGCAATCTACAAGAACAAAACAAAAAGTCTTTAAACTTCCTTGTTAAAAAAACACATGACAAACCCATAGCAGTGCATCTAGTTTCTCAATAAATAAGACTAAAAAACATTTTCCACAATAGAATGTTACAGCACCAGTTATTCAATCCTTTCTTAAGACTGAAATCATTCTTCTAGTACTGTACTACATACACTTTACAGAGAAATAGGCAGACTATATAACCAATAGAATGGTTCTGAATTAAAGTGAAATCTATTCATTTGTACAAAAATGGTATGGTAGTTTATTTAAGTAAAAGTAAACTTCCATTTGTAAACTTCTTCATAGAGTAAAATCAAAACAATATTTTCTTTATGGAATTGAACAAGTTCTAGAAAACTCTAGGTTTTTAAAGTAGATTTGCATAGAAAGTATTAGTCTATAGAAAGAACATTTAAAAACAAGAAAATACACACACTTGAACAGCAAGGAAAAAAATACATGGTGCTGAAAAAATATTAAAGCAAGTATTTATCAGAAACAATATACCAGGCACTATTAGGCACTAGGTATGACATACTAAAAACTAGTCCCTGCCCTCACTGGCCTTACAGTCTAGCAGATTAACGCTATCCTCTGCCAGGTCAACCATTTGCATTTGTTCTTTACATACCGGCTGCCTCTGTTTCTTTGGTTCCCACCAGCTCTGCTATTCCATTCCTCAACAATTGGAGGAGACTCAGGAGGGCGTTTTAGGTATTCCTGATATTCCTTGTCATCTTCTGTGAATCTACTAGAAAACATCTCTTCAAAGTTTGGAGCAGCTCCGGCAGTGTCAGTCATTCTGAAATTCTGTACAATTTTAAAGACATTTTTATTTAAAAAAATTTTTTTAATTAACACTCTCTCTCTAGATAATGAAAAACTAAGATGTAAACAATTGTTAGGGAGGGTATTTGTGGAAGTCTTTGTGTCCTTCAGACTTGTTATGTTTTAGGTATTGAATTCAACCTTTTTTTTTTTTGAGACAAGATCTCTCACTCTGTCACCCAGGCTGGAGCACAGTGACAATCTTAGGTAACTGCAGCCTTGACTTCACTGGCTCCAACAATCCTCCCACCTCAGCCTCCCAAGATGCTGGACTACAGGTGCATGCCACCCACAAGTGGCTAATTTTTGTATTTTTTGAAGAGACAGGATCTTGCCATGTTGCCCAGGCTGGTCTCAAAGTCTTAGGCTCCAGTGATCCTCCTGCCTTGGCCTCCCAAAGTGCTGGAATTACAGGCATGATCCACTGGGCCTGGCCAAAATTATTTTCTTACTGTATCAACTTATAATAAAACATTTTGGACAAAGAGATGTGATATTGAAAGCTATTGTGATAACTTCTTCATTAGTCTGCCTTTCCTCCAAACATATGCATCTATTTGTAACATTTATACTACCTACCTTCACCCCAACAATATTAAACCAAAATTATTGTTTGGATTGCAAGAAGCAATATGTAGACACTGTCTTATTTTCTTTTCCCCTCCCCGAGACGGAGTCTTGCTCTGTTGCCCAGAGCTTGAGTGCAATGGCGTGATCTCGGCTCACTGCAACCTCTGTCTCCCAGGGTCAAGCAATTCTTCTGCCTCAGCCTCTCCAGCAGCTGGGATTACAGGTGCACACCACCACGCCCAGCTAATTTTTGTATTTTTAGTAGAGATGGGATTTCACCATGTTGGCCAGACTGGTCTTGAACTCCTGACCTCAGGTGATTGGCCCGCCTCAGCCTCCCAAAGTGCTGGGATAACAGGCATGAGCCATCCTACCGGGCCTGACACTTTCAGGCTATTGTTTTTAGTGTGCTTTATCAAATACCAAATATCAAAGACTTTCAGTGTGTCTGGGGTTGGCAAACTCTATGTCAAATTCTCAAATCCAAGGAATGAATTTCAAATAAATTCAGCTAATTAAAATCATGCCTAGAATTCTATCAGGATCACAGAAATCACTAAAAAGATGACTCATGCATAATCCAGACAGGCAGTAAAAATCATAAGGCAAGTAAAAGGTGCTACTCCATTTCTATGTTCTCGGACGACTCCCCACCCACACTCATGTAAACAAATATCAACTGTATTATTACTGAGAACGGAATTTAAATACAATGTTAATTGACCCAAGCTTTACTTACCCCAGAGATTTGAGGCAGCTGTACTGCTTAATGTTTAGGTTGTTTAAATCTGCGGGAGAAAGAAAACAAACTTGACTTTTACTCTCAAAAGGTGTTTGGAGGGGAGGGTGGTGCATTTATGTCTGACTCAAGGAAAGACTTGGGGTAAAAGTGCTCTAAGGCCGGGCGCGGTGGCTCAGGCCTGTAATCCCAGCACTTTGGGAGGCCAAGGCGGGCGGATCATGAGATCAGGAGATCTAGACCATCCTGGCTAACAGGGGGAAACCCCATCTCTACTAAAAATACAAAAAATTAGCTATGCGTGGAGGCAGGCGCCTGTAAGTCCCAGCTACTCGGGAAGCTGAGGCAGAAGAAACACTTTAACTCAGGAGGCGGTGGTTGCAGTGAGCTGAGATGGCGCCACTGCACTCCAGCCTGGGCGACAGAGAGAGACTCCGTCTCAAAACAAAAAACAAGTACTCTAAAGACTTTCAAAGCTAATAGCATTCCAAATAGGGAACTGGCTCTCACAGTGAAGAGCTAGAAGCTACAAGATTTGTCCTCTGGGCCTTCAAAAGCAATATAGTTCAAGTATGAATAAGAACTTCATAAAGTATGTATGTTCTTTTAGGGTAAGCCTTTCAGATTTGTACCCGAACAGTACTAGTTTATTCACCACAAATAAAACCACAAAAAACTTCGGCTGCGGGCGACTAACCCTTGAAATAACCAACGAGAATGGGGTTTCGCTGCCCTAGGAGGTGAGCCTAGAAAACAGACGAAGATGCAGACTTTTCAACTGCGTTTTCTAGTCTGTCCTCAAGGCACATCACAGCTTGTTTACCAAGGGTTCTAGCAGATCTGCTCCATTCCGAAGCACCTTACACCTCCAGAAGTGAGGGAAATTACGGGCCGTGACAGGCAAATGGCTTTCGGTCTCGCAAAGAGTACAAATTTCACCGCTCAGGCGGAGGTCACCTCACCGGCCACCCAACTCGGTCGCCCCGCTCCCTCCTCCCGGGCGTCCGGGGCGACTCACCCGCGAAGGGCTGTCTCTATCCAGCTTGGGCTGAACCCCGCCCGCGAGGCACTGGAGGCCACAGGAGAGGTGGTCTCTAGCCAGCTACGCCGCGGAACTCCAGACCACTCCAGCCCTCCAACGTAACGGAGGCCCTTCCGCTAGAATCCGACAACCGCCCGACTTCCGCTTCCGGCGGGCTGATGCTGAGGCTGGGCTGTCTGTCAAGTCTCGCGATAGCTAAGGCTCGTTGTCGCTTTGCAGCAGAGCGCTTCTTTAAATGTTGGCGCAACGCCCAGAGCTCAAGGAGGTGTGGGCAAGTAGCTGTCTAAAGATGGATGATGCTTTCCGTGCGCTTTCAGCCTGCCTGGTGGCTGGGCAGTCGAAAACGTCGCTGTCTATTAAGCCACTTTGACTGGGAGCCGGTGACTGGTAGAGACGGAAGTTCTGAGTATGTTTGGAGAAGGGAGGGAAAGGGCCCTTCCCGCCGCCTGCTCCGGAGGCTTCGTGGGGAACGTCAGGTGAGAGCAGGCCATGAAGCGTAGACACGAGTGATGACCTAAGGGATGCTTCGCCTTTCTCTCCTGCCCGGGCAAGCTTCGGTAGTAAGATTTCCGTAGTCCATTTTGTATGTGGTTTTGCGGAAACATACCCCGTCTCTGCTCCAGTTTCAGCTGTCGGTATCCAGCTACTTCCAGGAGCCTTGTCCTGTCTTCTGGGATGTTCCGCAAATGTGTAAACACTTAATATCCCGACAAAGCTTGGCCTGTTCCCTCCCAAATTGCTTACCAGGCTATGCATCCTTTTTTGTTAATACCGCCAACTTGGAAACTTTGCTGACAGATTTGATGCCCTTTCTTTTTTGTTCATGCTCCCATCACTTGCCAAGTCCTGTCGATTGTACCCTACAGTAATTCCAGCATCTTCTTACCCACTGCCCCCACCTAATCAAAGTTCTGATAATTATCCCCTGAACGGTGTAAATGCATGTACCTTTCTCACTGATGTCCTGCCTCTAGCATTACGCTGCTACTAGCCTATCTCATATATACTTGCTATAGGTGTAGTCATCTTCAAGCACCACCATGATCCAAAATAGCTGATCCAATGGCTTTCTGTTGCCTGTAGATTAAAGGTCAAGTTTATTAACCTGGATTCAAAACTTTTTTTATTTTCTGCTGTTCCCCGTCCATTCTCCCTCAGTAAGTGGTAAACCAGACCTTGTGAAGTACTTCATGCATAAATCATTACTTTTTTTTTTTTTTTGAGACAGTCTCGCTCCACCAGGCTCCTGGCTGGAGTGCAGTGGTGCCACCTAGGCTCACTGCAGCCTCCGCCTCCAGGGCTCAAGCAATTCTCCTGACTCAGCCTCCCGAGTAGCTGGGACTACAGGCACGCGCCACCACGCTCAGCTAATTTTTTTGTATTTTTAGTAGAGACAGGTTTCACCGTGTTGGCCAGGATGGTCTCGATCTCTTGACCTCGTGATCCGCCCGCCTTGGCCTCCCAAAGTGCTGGGATTACAGGCGTGAGCCACCGCGCCCGGCCATTACATTTTTATATATTGCTCATGTCCCTTATATGAAATACCTGTCCCTCCCCATCATCTCCAGATGTTGAAATTCTGTCCATTATTTAAAGCTTTAGAAATAATTTTTCTAGCCGGGCGCAGTGGCTAAAGCCTGTAATCCCAGCACTTTGGGAGGCTGAGGCAGATAGATCACGAGGTCAAGAGATCGAGACCATCCTGGTCAACATGGTGGAACCCCGTCTGTACTAAAAAATACAAAAAAATTAGCTGGGCATGGTGGCGCTTGCCTGTAATCCCAGCTACTCAGGAGGCTGAGGCAGGAGAATTGCTTGAACCCAGGAGGCAGAGATTGCGGTGAGCTGAGATTGCGCCATTGCACTCCAGCCTGGGTAACAAGAGCGAAACTCCCTCTCAAAAAAAAAAAAGGTAATTTTTCTAAAATTATCCCTAGAAATAATTTTTCTTTATATTGAGAGCCCATGATATTTTTGGAACTTCTTGTATTTATTACCAGTTTCTAACTTTGAACTAAAATTATTTATGGGCAAGCCTTTTCCCCTCTAAACTGTAAACAGGCCCTTATCTCATGCATTTCTACATTCTGGAGTGTATAACATTGTGTTTTTTTCGTTGTTGTTGTTGTTGTTTTTTGACATAGGGTCTCATTCTGTCACCCAGGCTGGAGTGCAGTGGCATGATCATGGCTTACTGCAGCTTCAGCTTCCTGGGCCCAGGTGATCCTCTCATCTTGGCCTCCCGAGAGCTGGGACTACAGGTACACACCACCGAAGTACACACCACCACCCTGTTAAGTTTTTGTATTTTTCATAGAGATGGAATTTCACAGTATTGCCCAGTCTGTTCTCGAACTCTGGGCTCAAGTACTCTGCCCACCTCAGTCTCCCAAAGTTCTGGGATAACAGGCCTGAGCCCAGCCCCATGTTGTGCTTTTTACATGAAGTTAGCACTCAGTAAATATTTGTGGAGTGAATGACAGAACTATGAATATTCCATGTAATCTTTTAGAAACATTAACCTAGCAAAAGTGTATAGGATAGCATGGATGAGAGGATAGGATAGTCTTGGTGTTGGGTAGTAAAGGTAAGAGGTAAAAAAACCAAGGGTACAATAAATGAATAATACCATCTTGGAGCCCCAGTAGTGCAATTGGTTAGCACATAGTACTATAGTACTTATAGCACTATCCTTAGTTACTGAGTGGATGATGGGAGAAAAAGATTGGTAGAAATCAGGGAAGGAGCTGGGCACAGTGACTCATGCCTGTAATCCCAACACCCTGGGAGGCCAAGGCAGGAGGATCATCTGAGGTCAGGAGTTCAAGAGCAGCCTGACCAACATGGTAAAACCCTGTCTCTACTAAAAATGCAAAATAATTAGCCAGGCATGGTGGTGGGTGCCTGTAATCCTAGCGACTTGGGAGGCTGAGGCAGGGAGAATTGCTTGAACTTGGGAGGCAGAGGTTGCAGTGAGCTGAGATTGCACCACTGTATGCCAGCCTGGGGGACAGAGCAAGACTCTGTCTAAAAAAAAAAAAAGAAGAAGAAAAAAAGGAAATCAGGAAAGACTCCAGTTCTTTGAGCCTAGGAAATTGGGGCTGAAAGGGAATATCCATAAGGTAAATTGGCTTTAAAACTCAGAGCCCAAATACATTTGTAAAATTTGAGATAGTGGTGAAATATTCAAGAGAAAATTTCTGGGAAGTTGTTAGAAATACAAGACTAAAGCTCAGGAAAGAGAGGCTCTGCCTAAATGTGTAAATGTGTGAGTCATTCATGAAGAAACAATAGTTGAAATCACTGGTGTACAAATGGTCCCCAATAGGACGGTTTGACTTAACGATTTTTGTGACTTTACAATGGTACTATGTATATTTAGTAGCAGTGTACTTTGAGTATCCATAAAAACATTCTATTTTTCAGTTTCAGTACAGTAGTCAATAAATTATATGAGATATTGAACACTTTATTATAAAATAGGCTTTGTGTTAAATAAGCTTGCCCAACTATAGGCTAATGTAAGTGTTCTGAGCATGTTTAAGGTAGGCTAGGCTAAGCTATGATGTTTGATAGATTAGGTGTACTAACTGCTTTTTTGACTTATAATATTTTCAACTTATGGGCTTATATGGACATAACCCCATCATAAATCAAGGAACATCTGTATATGATCTTTTCAACAGGGAAAGTGTTCATAGAGAAGAGAAGGCGACCAAGGCCTATCTCTCAGGAAATACCCATATTTAGGAGACAAGAATAGGAAATCTAAAACTTGAAGAAGGACAGTGTAACAGGTCAAAAACTAGGAAAAACGTTTTTTCCCCACCTAGTATCAGAAAGCAAGGACAGGGGCTTCTTGTAGGCTAGTTTGCTTGTTTCCTTGTGACTATTATTGACATTATTTGTAAGTAATGAGGACTTATCCAGAAAAGAATATACGGGTTGGACATCCCTAATCCCCAAATACAAAATCCAAAATGTCTCCAAATCCAAAACTTTTTGAATGCCAACATGACATTCAAAGGAAATCCTCCTTGGAGCATTTCGGATTTCAGATTTTCATAGTAGAGATACTCTACTGGTATTTCTTTCCTGTAAATTTGTGTACAACACTTAGGAGCCTCTAGGCCTCTGAGGGTTTCTATGAAGAACTCTTTAAGTATTCCAGCAGATTTTCAAATGAAATTTTTTTCTGCCCACAATGTCTTTTCATACTCTGATATCTTATCAATTATTATGTCTCATTATCTGACAACAGGAAACTTTCAAACAGGTAAGTTTGAAAGCATCAAAACTTTTTCACTGAAAGCATTTTTGATGGAAATGTTCGCAAAATGTGGTTCTTACCTATCTGGTATAACCAGAGTATAGGGGCCATAATTTAATCTTTGCTTGGCAACTAAAAGTTAGTGTTAAAATATTAGTTATATTCTTCTGGATAGTAATATCCTTGGGCCTGTTGCTATGTATGAGAAAAGTTACACCATGAAATTTATAGTGTTTTTTCTACTAGTTGTAGACATTTTGTTTTACTTAAGCGAATGTATTTTGTAAATTGTGATAAAATATATGCAACATAAAATTTACCATTTTAACCATTTGTAGGTGCACAGGTGGTTGACAGTAAGTACATTCACATTGTTGTGCGACCATCACCACCATCGATCTCCAGAAATGTTTTCATCTTCTCACACTGCAATTCTGTGCCCACAAAGCCATAACTGCATTTTCCTATCCCCCCCCACCCCCATTCTACTTTATCTTTAGGAATTTGACTACTCTAGGTACCTCATACAAGTGAAATCATACATTATATGCCGTTTTGTGACTGGCTTATTTCACTTAGCATAATGTCTTCAAGGTTCATCCACATTGTAGTATGTGTCGGAATTTCCTTCCTTTTTAATGAGTGTTATTGCATTGTATGTTTATACCACATTTTGTTACACATTCGTCTATTGATGGAGACTTGGGTGGCTTCCTTCTTTTGGCTATTATGAATAATGCATGTGTGAATATAGATATACAAGTATCTATTCAAGTCCCTGCTTTCAATTCTTTTGGGTATATACCCAGAAGTGGAATTGCTGAATCGTATTATTAATTTTTTGAGGAACCACCATAGTGTTTTCCATAATGGCT